TATATGGGTGTTTCATAATATATGCGCAGGACTTCGGGACGTGATAGCTCGTCCAAAAATATGAAAAAACGTTTCTATTAACTTACCCTCTAAAATGAACCATTTTCGAGATACAGGGTGTTGAAATTGAAAAAAAAATTTTTTACGCCACTAGAAAAAGTATGGTTTTGAGACGCCCATTTGAACCGCCAATGTTTTCTACACAAAAAAGGTACTCTTGGTCATACGCTCTAAAGTCGACCGTTTTGAGAAATCAAATTTTAATGTTGAAATACATGGTTAATTTTTGGAAATAAAACAAAATTTGATTTTTCTCGAAAACGGTCGACTTTAGAGCGTATGACCAAGAGTACCTTTCTACTTTCCTATCTGTATACAGATATAAGGAAAGTATAGGAATCATGATTTTTTTCGACCTCGAGTTTTCGACGGATTTTTACGTTTTGAGGTCCCCTGAATCCGTTTTGACTATTTTCGCGATGATGTCTGTGTGTGTGTGTGTGTGTGTGTGTGTGTGTGTGTGTGTGTGTGTGTGTGTGTGTGTGTGTGTGTGTGTGTGTGTGTGTGTGTGTGTGTGTGTGTGTGTGTGTGTGTGTGTGTGTGTGTGTGTGTGTGTGTGTGTGTGTGTGTGTGTGTGTGTGTGTGTGTGTGTGTGTGTGTGTGTGTGTGTGTGTGTGTGTGTGTGTGTGTGTGTGTGTGTGTGTGTGTGTGTGTGTGTGTGTGTGTGTGTGTGTGTGTGTGTGTGTGTGTGTGTGTGTGTGTGTGTGTGTGTGTGTGTGTGTGTGTGTGTGTGTGTGTGTGTGTGTGTGTGTGTGTGTGTGTGTGTGTGTGTGTGTGTGTGTGTGTGTGTGTGTGTGTGTGTGTGTGTGTATGTGTGTGTGTGTGTGTGTGTGTGTGTGTGTGTGTGTGTGTGTGTGTGTGTGTGTGTGTGTGTGTGTGTGTGTGTGTGTGTGTGTGTGTGTGTGTGTGTGTGTGTGTGTGTGTGTGTGTGTGTGTGTGTGTGTGTGTGTGTGTGTGTGTGTGTGTGTGTGTGTGTGTGTGTGTGTGTGTGTGTGTGTGTGTGTGTGTGTGTGTGTGTGTGTGTGTGTGTGTGTGTGTGTGTGTGTGTGTGTGTGTGTGTGTGTGTGTGTGTGTGTGTGTGTGTGTGTGTGTGTGTGTGTGTGTGTGTGTGTGTGTGTGTGTGTGTGTGTGTGTGTGTGTGTGTGTGTGTGTGTGTGTGTGTGTGTGTGTGTGTGTGTGTGTGTGTGTGTGTGTGTGTGTGTGTGTGTGTGTGTGTGTGTGTGTGTGTGTGTGTGTGTGTGTGTGTGTGTGTGTGTGTGTGTGTGTGTGTGTGTGTGTGTGTGTGTGTGTGTGTGTGTGTGTGTGTGTGTGTGTGTGTGTGTGTGTGTGTGTGTGTGTGTGTGTGTGTGTGTGTGTGTGTGTGTGTGTGTGTGTGTGTGTGTGTGTGTGTGTGTGTGTGTGTGTGTGTGTGTGTGTGTGTGTGTGTGTGTGTGTGTGTGTGTGTGTGTGTGTGTGTGTGTGTGTGTGTGTGTGTGTGTGTGTGTGTGTGTGTGTGTGTGTGTGTGTGTGTGTGTGTGTGTGTGTGTGTGTGTGTGTGTGTGTGTGTGTGTGTGTGTGTGTGTGTGTGTGTGTGTGTGTGTGTGTGTGTGTGTGTGTGTGTGTGTGTGTGTGTGTGTGTGTGTGTGTGTGTGTGTGTGTGTGTGTGTGTGTGTGTGTGTGTGTGTGTGTGTGTGTGTGTGTGTGTGTGTGTGTGTGTGTGTGTGTGTGTGTGTGTGTGTGTGTGTGTGTGTGTGTGTGTGTGTGTGTGTGTGTGTGTGTGTGTGTGTGTGTGTGTGTGTGTGTGTGTGTGTGTGTGTGTGTGTGTGTGTGTGTGTGTGTGTGTGTGTGTGTGTGTGTGTGTGTGTGTGTGTGTGTGTGTGTGTGTGTGTGTGTGTGTGTGTGTGTGTGTGTGTGTGTGTGTGTGTGTGTGTGTGTGTGTGTGTGTGTGTGTGTGTGTGTGTGTGTCGCATAACTCATGAACCGATACACAGAAAACACCAAATTTTAAACTTAACCTTTATTCCAGCGTCTAATAAACTGATTATTATTTTATGGAATATATCTGTTATTTATGTTTGGAGAAGAAAATTGTTCAAATAAAAGTTACTTCTAATATTATTATCTATAATTTTTACTTTATGTCAAAATTTCCTGAAATGGTCCGTATTCGAGAAATTTGACAAAATGTGCAAAATTCTGATTTTTATTATGAAAATTGTTGAACTAAAAGTTGTTTGCGATATCGATCTCTATAATTTTTGTTCATACATGATTTTTCTAAAATGGACCGTACTGGAAAAGTGCTAAATTTAAAATTTTCTGTATTTTCGTTTTCAATGAATATCTATAGAAAAATGTTTCGAGGTAGATGTATGTGGACAATGTATATATTTAGTTTATCCTCTAAACATTTATACAGATGCTGCACTAGGTTGTACAAAATAATCGGAAAAAGCCTATAATAACTAGATAGGAAAGTCATGTGTTGGACACATTAGATTTTTTGTGTAGAAAACATTGGCGGTTCAAATGGGTGTCTCAAAACCGTACTTTTTCCAGTGGCGTAGAATTTTTTTTTTCAATTTCAACCCCCTGTATCTCGAAAATGGTACATTTCAGAGGGTAAGTTAATAGAAACGTTTTTTTCATATTTTTGGACGAGCTATCACGTCCTGAAGTCCTGCGCATATATTATGAAACACCCTGATTTATGAAATTCACTTCACTCTGTAAAATGGAGACAGGGACGTTTACAGGAAAATTATGTTTAGCTTTTCTTATTAATTAGTTAAGATCTATAATTCCCTCAGTTTACGGAACTTTATTCTTAAACACCCTGTATTTGGTTTCTGACATACATACCCTAAGATCTCACCAGCTGAGCTGATGTTTTAGGGTATCCATTTAGGGAGAGATTACAGAACCCTTGCAAATCGTACCATCATTTTGCAGTTATGAATGAGAATATTAATATTCCGAAAACATTTTTTTGTTTTTTGTTTGGCATAGGCACATTGCCATTAAGCCAGACACAGATTCGTCCATAATTAGACCTACCCAAGAATATTTCCCAACAAGGTGTAAAAAGAAGAAAAACAATATATGACGGGGACACTCGCTTCTCGTGCAGGAACCAATCAGAACTTTTTTTTAATAGACAAACGAAATTAGGCCTCGGTAAGAGGGTAAACAAATAGGTATAATACACAGGAAACACGATTAGATTCCAATCATAGACGAATCTTGATGTCTCTTAAAAATTGTAAGAGGCAATTGATATTATCATCAGAAAAATGGGTTAGCTGTTTCAATATTTAAGGGGGATGGAATGTTATTTTTTTATAAGATTCATATAAAGCATGTTTGAATATACTACGTATTTTTTGCATTCGAAGAAAACGTGATTAAGGTCTCCAGTTGTTTCACAAAAGTCACAATTTTCATCTTCTTTTATATTAATTTTTAGTGTTTGGGATAACTGGCATGACCAAATCTGGTTATAATTAAAGATGTAATGTAGTGGAATATATCTTTGAATTTTAGTGTACTGATTCGAATACGTGGTAGAGAATTGAGACCACTCATGTCTCCATTTTCTCATATTGTTGGATTTTATCAAGGCAACAATATCTGGGCTACAGCAGATTTTGCTGGCATATCAACATATTCATTGTGTTTAAGTCCAATATGAGCCTTTACTTATATAAAGCATATCTTTACTTTATTAGTAATTAGTTGGAACAATGCCTTTTTGATTAAGAAAATGTATGGATTTGAATTAAAATTTGGAATGTCCAAAGCTACAGCCGATTTTAAAACAGATAAAGAATCTG